AAGCCAGCCTGATCTACATAGTGAGTTCCAGGCCAGCTGAGGCTACAAGTAGACCCTGTCTCAAAAAGACTAAAAAATTAATTAATTAATTAATTAATTAATCAATGTCTTTTATTGAGATAGGATTTCCCGGTAGCCCCAGCTGGCCTGGAACTCTATGTAGACCAGGCTGGCCTGGATCTCACAAGTTCGGCCTGCCTCTGCCTCCCAAGTGTTGGGATTAAAGGCATATACCACCATGCTCAGCTATTGATTTATTTCAAGACAGGGTCTCATCTAGCTCAAGTTGGCCTTGAACTTGTAGCTAAGGATGGCCTTGAACATCTGATCCTCCTGATTCCACCTTCCAAGTGCTGAGATTACAAGTGCATACCACCCTGCATACCTGGTTTTTGTGGTTCTGGGAATCAAACCCAGAGCTTCCTGGATGCTAGGCAAGCACTCTACCAACTGAGCCCAGCCCGTCCACCTCCTTTCCCCACTAAAAATTAGTTTTTTTACTGTTGCATTTTCATTTTTAAACGATTTGCTTTATTTCTATTTGTGTGTGTGTGTATGTATGTACATGGTTGTACATGCATAATCTCAGATGTGGTACTGAGGATGAAACCTAGGGTCTCACATAATGCCAGGCAAGCACTCCACCACTGAGCTACATTTCCAGCCATTTTTCACTTTTTATCTTGAGATAGATAAAAAGTGTTGCTCAGCCTGTCCTAGAACTGACTCTGCAGCCCAGTCAGGCCTTGAACTTGAGATCTCAACCTCCCAGGTAGGCTAGGATTACAGGCCTGCACCACCAGACCTAGGATAGCAAGCCATTAATGGTAGCTGGTGCTATTGTTTTGCTTGTTTGACATTGAGGAGGAAAGTGTTGGTAATAATCCAATATTAACTCAGGAGGTAGCATTCGTCTTGGAGGTAATGTGCTAAGGCAGGACCTTTGGCAGCTTGTGAGCCTCCATTAAGATCCAGTGTCCCAATTCAGCCCTTGTCTTTCTTGGACTTTCCTAGACCAAGCCCAGTATCCGGTGCTTCATCAAACCCACCGAGACACTGGAGCGCTCCCTTGAGATGAACAAGCACAAGGGCAAGAGGCGGGTGCAAAAGAGACCCAACTACAAAAACGTTGGGGAGGAGGAAGATGAAGAGAAAGGACCTTCTGAGGATGCCCAGGAAGACACTGAGAAGGCTAAAGGTACAGAGGGTGGTTCAAAAGGCATGAAGACGAGTGGGGAGCGTGAAGGTGAGTGTACCCTGTAAGGCCTCTGCGCTCTGTGCCTGCGCTTCCCCCTGCAGCCAGCAAGGCTTCTGTCTGTGCTGTCTTCCTTCTGCTCCCCACCTGTGTCTCTTGGTGCTTCTGTTTAGCTCACTGCCCACCACTGTACCTCATTCTGGACAGTCCAGCCTTTGGAGACCACTATGGGTTCTGTCACAGCAAATCCAGGACACATCGCACCCTGTGTGACCCAAAGCAAGGTTTTATTTTCCTATCTGTAAAAGAATGGTAACACACACTTTTGTGGTGTCATGAGCGTTAGATCACACAGTGCATCTAGCCTGCTCAGAACAGTGCGTGGCCCTTATGAAATGCTTTAGAAGCTTGTGTTGCAGCTGCTGTCATTGATGTCGCCATCGTCATTTACCCACAGTTGTCACTGTTGGTCTTACTCCTGCTAACTTGAGAGTATGGTCCAGTGTATTGTGGGAAAGAAGAGGGGCCCTGCTTGATGAGATGCTCTATCCTTAATAGTTGATGGATCCCTGGGGTCACATGAAAATGCAGTCCCCAGATTCTCCCACTGGGTTTTTAGAAGCCCATCCGGTCTGTTAAAGAGTGAGGCACACTTGTATGCTGCAAGTGCCTTAGGTGAGCAGAAGCCTGCCTTCCTCTCCCACCAACCCTCCCCTTTCTTACCTTTTCTTCTGTAGATACTAAAACCCTCTGGAACTGGAGAGGGTTGGGTCTGGGACTCAAACTACTGGAAGTGGTTGGTTGCTTATATCATAGACCAGGCTCACAGCCACACAGTTGGAGCCTCTGGTGCAGCCCCAGGCATTAGGGGGTGGGGTGTTCATGTCGATGGGAACTCTGCTTGGTGGTCCTGGGGCTGAGGACTACTGGCTAAAGGGAAGATCCCATACATCTCAAGACAAATGTAGTCTCTCCAGAAAATCCTGGCTGTTGGCTGAAGGGGTTGGGGGAACATTGTGCCAGCCTCATGGGCACTAGGCTAGCAATGGTGGCTCTGAAGGAACCCCATGGGGGGGACCTTATGGGCCCCTTATTTCAGGGTAGCTAATTCAGTAGCACAGAGCTGTATACTGAGGCACTAAGGACTCGTTCGCCTTTGAGAGCTGCCTGTAGTTCCATAGCCAACACACATCCTTCCGTCTCAACCTGCTGGGTTGGATGGTTGTCATAGCAACTATCAGTGAATGCCTCAATCACATGTCAGTGAGTTACCCAAAATGTGCCTAGGTGGGCCAGATCTCTTCCTAAGGCTGGGGTCTCTAGCCTGCTTTTATTTCTGCTCAGCGTGGAGTAGAGTTTTTAATTTAGGAGTTCATTATGGGCCTGGAAAACCTTTGCAGAAGTATCACTTTGGTGGGGAGGTTGAGGGACAAACACAAGGTAAGTCCTAGTTACTTGCTTATTAGGTCATTTTAAGGACTTTGTTAGCTGGGCAGTACCCTAGGCCTAGCCATTGTGAAGCCACATGAGGGAATGGATGTCTGAACCTCGTTTTGAACACTGTGTTATTGTCGATTTCATCTTGGAAAGATGCTGTTTCTTTTGTTCCAGGCCTTTTACGGGATGCTGTCTAGCCAACCCCCAACTGTGACTAACAGTGGTATGGACAGGGCAGCCTTAGCCCTAGAGCCTAATCTAATGATCAGCCAGGCAGCCCATTCCCAGCACACGGGACCTATGGGCCAGCTCAGTGAAGCTGCTGTGGTCACTCAGGCTGCTAGGCTTGGAGTGGGGCTCCTGGTACTGAGACCCCCCCACACACACACACCCTATGCAGGAAGCAAGGGGAAACATTGTCACTAGCCTCCCAAAGTGGGTTTCCCATGCAGTTACCCTGCCAGATTATTCCAAACAGGGCCCCAGGGTTTCCCCAGAGGGCTGGATTAGACAGCTGGCACTGACTTCACAGCTCTGTCAAGCGTGGCTCTCTGTGACCCTCATGGCCATTTTGCTGCCTTTATAATTTCTCAAACGCATTAATCATTCCAAAACATGATGGGCTGTCATCTTCCTACCCGGCTTACCATAAATATATAGTTTCAACGGGCCTGGTGAGTGCACTTGCATTCAAGGGCTTTCCAAAGCATGTATCAGATCTCTGAGTCTCAGATGAAGGTTCAGTTAGTGGGTATTTTCTCCCTATCCTGCTTCTGTGTTTGGAAAAAATCCCATCTGATAATTACTGTGACGCAGAAAGGTGTCAGGCACTTGCCTTCTTTCCCACTGTAACCCAGAGGACAACATTGAGGTATGCTGGGGCCCTGTGGCCAGGCCTGGGTCACGTGGCTATGGCAATTCTTTCCTAAGCTCTGAGGTACATATAGTACAACAGCAGCAGGTGTGAAGGTGCCAGGCTACACTGTGTTCCACTCCTCCCTCAGGCTGGTCTTCCTCCTCCACCATTATCCCTACTCTAGCAAGCTTTTTTTCATTGTCCCTGCATCTAGAAGTAGTCAACAGCATGGTTGTGACAGACATGGGAGCCTCCTAAATAAAGAGGTAGTGGCCCTTAGCTGGGCGTGGTGGTGCACGCCTTTAATCCCCATACTTGGGAGGCAGAGGCAGGTCTATCACTGTGAGTTCGAGGACAGCTGGGGATACAGGGAGACCCTGTTTCAGAAAGATTGAAAAAAAAAAAAGGTACTGGCTGTCATCCACCCCCATGTCTGCTGCCCCAATTCTGGTGGTGAAATCTCTACACAGAAAGGTTAAAAAAAAAGGGGGGGGTAAAAACAAGAGGGTAAAAGGGGCATGTCATGAGGCAGTTGGCCATGACTTGATTTGAATGTGGCATTAATGTGTTTTCTTTTATAAAGCAGCACCCAGAATTCACACCTCCTCCACACTTGAGCCCAGACAAGAAGGGTGCGTGAAATGAGTGTGCGCCTCTGACCCGTCCTCTCCCATCCCCAGTATGTAAGAAACTTGCTCCCCTCAGATCTCAAGTCATGGGTGACTTGTTCCGGGGCCACAAAATCACAGGGCCCCAAAATTTCTTCAGAAATCGACTATTAAAAGCAAGATAAGGGATGCCATCGTCCCTGCAGATAAAGACGCTCTGCCCAGGAAGTCAGCCCAGAGCACATGCTCATTTTTTAGCTCACCCTTCAGTTGGAAAGGACAGTTGCTGCTTTTGGACTTGCTTAGAGCAATAACTTAATAAGCAGACCTGACAGAGAGATTGGAACACTCCACCTCCCCCTGGAATAGAGAGCCGGGCTGCTAATTTTGCCTATAGAGCATGTAGGCATTGGCTGGCCCACTCGACTGGCCCAGCCTTCTCTTCCTGGAATTCTAGCAAGGAACTGAAGGCAGAAGGATTGACTGCACCTGCCCAGGCAGCTGGACCCCAGCTTTGCCATTAAAAAAGTCTCTGCTAGAGTGAAATGGAACCTGCCTTCATTCCTGACTTACCTGTGGGGATGTAGAGATCTGAACCCTAGCTGCCCTGAGCTGCTGTGTGAGCTGGGCAAGTTATCACTCCACTGCCATGTCACCTGTGGAAGGGCCTTCCTGATGCCCAGCCCTGAGGTTGTCACAGTGAGAATGCCCATGCTGCAGCCAAGATGGAGGGCAGGAACTTGGCGAAGAGGCTAAGGGGATGGACTCTTATGTCTAAGTCCCTGATGATTTCTGCAGGGCTCCTCCCTCTTTCCTTCCCTTCCTTGTCTGTGTATATCTTCTATGTACTCATGTTCATGTCTGTGAGTACAGGCCACAGCACACGTGTGGAAGTCAGAGGATAACCTCAAGTATCCATCTTTACTGTCCACCTTGCTTGAGACATGGTCCTGTGTTTGCTGCTGCGTACACCAGGCCAGCTGGTCCGCTGGTAATTCTCCTGTCTGTGCTTCACAACTCACAGGTTGAGTGTTGAGACTGCAGATACCCACTATCGAGTCTGTCTTTATGTGGTTCTGTGGAGTCAAACTCAGAACCTCATACTAACACGTGCTTCATCCACTGAGCCATCTCCCCAGCCCCCAGTACTGATGAGTGGGATGAGTGAGCAAGGATATGAGTACAAGAGTGTGAGCTGATGGGAAAGAGGAAAAAAGAGACTTGGTTGGCCTAGGCATTGTGGCAGAAGATTCTGCTCTCACCTTTCTAACAGGCTTCACCAAAGAGTTAAAGTGTGAAGGTCATCTTCCCAAAAAACTACTGTCTGTGTTCAGTAGATTCCAAAAAGCAAAGGAAGGGGACCCGAGTGCGCAGCATGTGGTGTGGGGGGTGGGGGACGTCTCCCTTTTTGCACCTTGAAGCCCTGCTTCAGCGCCAGCCAATCACAGCCCTCCCTGATTTCCTAGGTAACCAGCAGCTTATTTCCCTCTTGACCTTCCTATGCAGGCTTCTCCTCCCCTCCCCCTCCATTGTTTTACTCCGGTTTCTGGAATAGAGAACCCAAGGGAAGATTAAGGAAATCCTTGGATTTGTAAAGTCAACTATTGGGAGGTCATGCCTGCCATTTCCCTGAAAAGCACTTCATCTACCAAATATTAATCAGATTAGAATGTACATCATCCTGAGCAAATCAGTGAATTATTGCTGTTACTTGAAAAATCAGTATGCCAGAGGCTGGGGGAGCTCCAGGATGTAGCTAGAGTTGTCATATCAAGAAGTGGATGTCCTTGTGTCCTGAGGGTCCTTAGCCTACACCTGACCTCCACAGCCCTCCAAGCATAGCCACCACTTGTATGGCACCTTGGGAGATTGAGAGGGCCTTGCCAGCTTTTGGTTCTTGTGTTTCTTTTTGATTGTGGTAAAATACTCGTGCATAGCAAAGCTGCCACTTTTACCACTTTAAAGTGTTAAGGGTGCTTATCTTGTGCATCTATCACCATCATCTCCAGAATTCTTTGCATCTTGCAAAGTAAGACTCTATCCCTCTTAAACAGCTCCTTATTCTCCCTACCCCCAGCCAATGGCAGCTACTATTCTATTTCAAGTCTTCATGGATTTGACTACTCTCATATAAGGACCTCAGAAGAGTC